GTAGAATTAGGGTCATGATAGTGGGGTGAGGAAGCATTAAAAACCAGAGGAAAGATGTATGTTTCATCTGTGCTATACTGCCCCCTGACTGGCCCATCTTCTCCCCACGACCCTTCTGTAAGGGAATGTCCAATTGCTTACAGATTAGCTTTGGGCCTCTACTCCACACACACGCACCCAGTGCCCCCCATTCACATTGACATGATTTTTTTTTTGTTCTGGGTCTTTGATACCTGATCCCATCGACACCTCATGATCACACAGGCTGGTGTGGTGTACTACTTCCACGTGGGCTTTGTTGCTTCTGAGCTAGATGGCCGCTTGTTTATCTTCAACTCTTTAAGACCCCAGACACTATATCTTTTGCTAGCCAGGCACCATCAGCATTCTTCACCACATTTGCTTACACACCCATTTGTCTTTAGCGAGCATGTCGGGAAGGGGGAGCATCTCAGAATGCTGGATTATTAAAATAAAGTGTTCTTGTGTTGAGGGAGTACTTGAATAGATGCCCAATGTCCATCTGCTTCCTTAGTACTAAACTTATAAATATATGCACATAGATCTATTTCCCCATCGTCATATATAAATACATTTACATATGTACGTGCCTATATTTAGATCTCTATAAATTCCCTTTGCCTCCTAGTTTTTTCCTCTATTTCCTTTAACTCTCCTCTTGTCCCACTATCATGCTCTCTAGCTCTAATTTTAATGTCACGTGTAATTATTGAAACACGAATGCTGTAACAACCCCCTTTGTGAAAACACATCTGCTTTGAAAGTTAATAAGTTAGCCTGTTACTTACTTTTGATTGAGATGGATGAACAGTTTACCCCTGTACAACAAAGATTTGAATTGTGCACATCCACGTATGCACATTTTTTATATGCCATATGATGGTAATCTCTGTGAACATCTTGTAAACTCCACAGCATCGTTAAAAAGTGATCTCTTGCAGTTCATATTTTTATGTTTACTTTAATACTTGTATAAAACTTTGGGACCTGTATGAAGTGTCAACTAGTGATGCTAGAAGTGCTTCCCCCCAAAATCATGATACTGCAAGAAAAAGTTAAATTGCTTTATGTTATCTACATTTGAAGGGTGCAATTGCCTGCCATTTCAAGATAAATTAATCTAAGATTCATTGTGAAAAAGACAAGACATTCTTGAGTTAACCACTTAGGTCCACCATTGGCACAAAAACCGTGCAATTTTGCAAAATAACCTTTTCATCTTTTATTGAAAATGCAGCTTATGTGTATAGATGGCAGCACATGATCCATATACAAAGTGTGTTAATTGTTATCAGTAAGACTTTTAGTTAATTCTAGGCTAGTGGTAAAGTTTTTGGAAAGTAAAAGTTGTATGGGGATTTTCAGCTACCTGAGAGGTGTATTGGTGCCTCTAATTCTGGGGTTCAAAGGTCAGGTGTACTAAAGAAACTTTTGAATTAAATTCTTTGACATAAGGGGACGCGGGCATGTGAGTAATGTGCAATTAATGGTATGTTAGAAAGGTAGAACCTAAAGCTTTCCAAGTTTTCAAGTAATTTTGTTAATTAAGTCCAATGCTTAATCCATTGCTGTCCCACTTAGTTGCTTGCTGTTGTAAAAGTATTTTAGAAAGGGGAAATCAGAATAAGTTAATGATAATGTCATAAGATTACCATTTAATTTTTTAAATCGCTTTATTAGGGGCTCATACGACTCTTACCACAATCCATACATACTTCAATTGTGTAAAGCCATTTGTACATTCATTGCCCTCGTCATTCCCAAAACATTTGCTCTCCACTTAAGCCCCTTGCATCAGGTCCTCATCCCTCCCCCACCTCCCCGCTCCCCCCTCTCTCATGAGGTCTTGATAATTTATAAATTATTTTGTCATATCTTGCCCTGTCCAACGTCTCCCATCACCCACTTTTCTGTTCGTCCCCCAGGGAGGAGGTCACATATAGTTCCTTGTAATCGGTTCCCTCTTTCCTACCCACTCTCCCCCTACCCTCCCTGTTTCACCACTCACACCACTGGTCCTGTAGGGCTCATCCGCCCTGGATTCCCTGTATTTTCAGTTCCTATCTGTACCAGTGTACATCCTCTGGTCTAGCCAGACTTGCAAGGTAGAATTCTTATAATGATAGTGGGGGTGGGGAGGAAGAAGCATTTAGGACCATTTAATTTTTGAAGGAGAAGTGTGTGTTCTTCATATAGAAAAACTGCTCATTTTGGAGCAGACAAGAGGACTTAATATCTAGTGAAAAAGTGTCTTGTACATTCAAAACCATCAAAAATGCCTACAAAATAAGTTCCTTTGCACATTTTGGGGTCCTTTTATTTTCCCATGTGATTGGGATTTTATGTTTGGAGATGAAGCTTGATTAGCAATAGTGCTTTGATTTCTGGGTATGCATTTAGATTTTTTTGCAAGGGAGAGTACATGAATATTGTATATGAATAAAATAAAATTACCTTTTTTTTTTTTTTTAAGAAACAAACATTCAAGAACTACTTTCAGAACTGAATAATATTGTTAAGATTTCAGATAAAAATGTACGGACTAGGGCACTTTGGGTGATATCCAAGCAGACGTTTCCTTCTGACATGGTTGGCAAAGCAGTAAGTATAGTAATTTGTGTATTCTCTTACGTATATGGCCTCATTCTGCCCCCTAAAAATCTGGTTTATTTAATATGCTTTCACTTGCTTTTGTTTTTTAGGTGTCCCATATAATTGAAACATTAGAAATAGTGTTTAATAAAGGAGAGATGCATTCTGCTATTGTTGATTATGAAGCATTGAATGTCATCATAAGGTATGATTTAGAATGCTATATAAATTGGAAGACTAAATCTAGAATTTACTTCCAGGAGTGAACTTTTGGGGGTCAAATACAAGTAAAATGTCAAAAGGAGGATTTTTTTTTCCCAACCAAAAAGACCAAGAAGTAGATGTGTATGTTACCAGGTTTGCCTTTTGTTTTGTTCGGGTTGAGGCACTCATAAGTAAAGTCTTTGTAGTTCTGATGGAAAGAATACTTTTGGTATTTTTATAAGTAATTTTACCTTTGCAAATTATAACAAGTAAAAATAAATAGTAATGAGGTGTAATGGCAAAAAAAATTTTTTTTAACCTTTGCTAAAACTTGCAAGGGTTTAACAAACAGTAGGCTAAACGAGGTTTGTCTAGGAAGATGCTCAGCAACCGAAACTTATTCGTTCAGATAGTCTGATTGTCATTTTGGTTAAATCACGGTCCTGTGACTGCCCTTTCTGCTTAAAAGAGCATTGAATTTAATTTTATAATGATAATTAGTATTTTAAATTTTTCTTCCTCAAGACAAATACATGTTCTCTTTAGTTGAAAATTTTAATAGTAATAACATGTACAAGATGGCAAATTTACAAACATTTTTCTAATCCTAGACCCTTCAGTAATCTTTAATAGATTCATTTCAGATTTTTTGTATTCATGTATGAAGATGTACCTATGTGCACTTTAAAACAAATAGGTTACATTATACAGATCACATGTTTCTGAACATGATTTACTTTACTGGTAATTATGCTTCAAAAGTAAAGTCAAACTAATTTACTGATTTCTCTATTGTAGGCTAATTGAACAGGCCCCAGTTCAAATGGCAGAAGAATCAGTGAGGTGGGCAAAACTGGTCATACCTTTAGTGGTTCATTCGGCACAAAAGGTACATCTGCGGGGTGCAACTGCTCTAGAGATGGGAATGCCACTACTACTTCAGAAACAGCAGGAAATAGCATCTATTACTGAGCAGCTTATGACTACTGTAAGTATTCACACAAGGATATTTTGGATATTTTCTCTATAGATGTACACTAAATATAGAACCCAGTCTAACTTTTTATTGTAATTTCATTATTATCTATCCTCAAAGTTTTTAAACGGGGCAAAACTATGAACAAATTCCTATGCACACTGCACATATCTTATTTTGAAGTAAAAACACAAAACGGGGCAAAAACCACCCAGCGGGCTGCAGTTTGAGGACGCCTGATCTAGGAGGCGCAGCTTTGTGAATTAAAACACAGAATAATTTAAATTATGATTGTTGGCATAGTGTTTCTACAGTACTATAAGGGAGTTGAATAGTGTTGCTGTAATTTAGGCATTTTACTCTATTCCTAGTAAATGATAAATAGGAAGGGACTACATTTTGGGGCAGTGTTTCGTTATCTTGTACATGGGATCACTATGAGTTGGAACCAATCCGAATGCGGTACCTAATGACAACCGGCACATAGAGTCTGTACAATTTCTTAAAGTTGTATCACAGGTTAGATTTTCCAACATAACATTCTTATTACAAATAACTTACTGAGCAGCTGTGATTGCTGGATGTTCTTCTAGCATGTAATATAGCACTCTGAGTATAGCAATGGAAACGAGATTTATTTAGCTTATTTCCTGAGATAAATTGCATTGTGTATTGGGTACAGATCATTATAGATCACAGCAGAGTGGATAATGTGTTGCATTGGAAAAGAGGGGTGATTGGTCAAGAGTATGTCATTAGAACGATAATTTGTAGGTATCATAACAGTCTTTTTTATATTAGGGAAAGGTTATTTTCAGCCTGAGGGAAACCTTGAGAGAGGTGTACCTGGTTGGTGTTTTAGGGAGCACTGTGGATAGTGTGATTGAAGTAGAATGAGCAAGGAGGAGAGTAGTAGAATCTGATGCCAGATACAGAGGGCAAATTACCCAGGATCTTGGGGAGTGTTTTAAGCATTTGTACCCCCTTAAGGGTTATATAAGGCACCCTTTATTTACATGTTGGGCTGCTAACTAACTGCATGGTCACCTGTTTGAAACCACCACCAATTGCTCTGAGGGAGAATGACAAAGCTTTTTACTTCCTTGAAGAGTTACCGTCAGAGAAATTCACAGGCAGTCCTACCCTGTTCAATAAGGGTCACTATAAATTGGAATCAACTGATGGTTATGAGTGTTTTTTGTTTCATTTATGGGTTATATGGAAAGTCCTATTTGAAGGCTTTGAGTTAGGAGTGATACATACTGACTTGGCTATTAAAATACTCATTTTGTCTATTGAAAACAGGAGGCTTCAAAATGAAAAAAAAAAATAGGAATTTTATTGTGGCTTTTTTCTTTTGTGTATGTGATGGATTACAGATTTTCTAATACTGTATTTTTAAGTTGAATTATTCATACGTACTTCTTGGTATGACTTCCACGTGGTCATGGCATGTTGGATGTATGGGATTGGATTCTGTTGGTTAAGGATTTTGTTTAGAATGTGTATTTTATAAGGGATATATTGTTTTATTTACTTTTTTCAATGATATTTTTGCCTAGCTTTGATATCAGGGTTATGCTTGCTTCAGAAAATGAATTTGCGAATATTCCATCCTTTTCTGTACTCTGGAATCATTTGAGTAGTTGGTATTAAGCTCTTCTTCTGAATGGTAGTAGAGTCTGGGCTTTTTTTTTGTTGGGAATTGTGTGATAACCTGATAAATTTCTTTCATTGTGAGTTTGTGTTTATTTGTGTAAATAATATCTGTGGGTCTACCATAATCCACTCCATATACAAGATCCAATTAAACACGTAGCTTCGGAGGGGATCTGCTGGGCCAGTTAAATTCAGTCATTCATGGAGGCTGTCTTTATTTGACAGGAGTAATCTTGAAGGACACAGTGATTTTGTGGGCTTATTAATTGTCAGATATAAATTTTAAGAAAGTTACAGTGTGTATTACTCTTGGTACTTTAGAGAAACAAATCCACAGCAATTCATGTATAAGAGTTTTATGTAAAGGAAGTGTGCATCACGAAAACATCCCAACCCAATGCTGCCCAAGCCCACAAGTCCAACATTAACTCATTAACCCAACACCAGTCCACAAAGTCCTCCACCTCACAAAACAGAGGCAATGATGCTGACTGCAGGAAGAAAGCTGAGTCAGTGAACGAATAAGCATCTCAGCACTGGCAGGGGGTCTCCACATGGCTGCTCCAGCACCCAGGGCTCCATCGGGATTGGTCTATGCGGCTTCTCCTTGGGGATGTCTTGTAGGAAGTCAATCTTGCAAGCTGAAGCAGGGAACTGTTAAGGCAGCTGCGCCCTGGTGCGACCATCACAAAGCAAGAAACCCGAGAACTAGAAAGGCGAGGCTCACCACCCATTTATCCCTCTGCCTTTCAATTAGCCCCACCTGTGATTATCGGCCAGGTTGGCACAATTAACTAACTCACAGTGTGTTGGTGAGAAAAAGGCCAGGAAGAGTTATGGTGGGGCATTTTTTGTCCGTTATGACAATTCTCCTTATTCTTGAGGATATGCCAGGGTTAACCTGGAAGAAACCTACCCATTTATGTCAGTCCTAGTCTTGTCCCTTCAGAATTTTGTCCTGCAAACTGAAGAACATTTATATATATAAAAGAAATGGAATGTGCGTCTCTGGAGGATGCCAGAACTGCCATTGTAGCTGGTGTAAACTGAAGAGATGGAAATCCCACCTGTGCTGCTGTTGGAAGTGTATAGACATACTTGAAAGATCTTATTATATATTTTTGTTTAATAAAGTTTGTGTAGCAGTGCTTTTTTTGACTCAAGTACATGCTAGGTTTTAGGGGGAAATGATTTCCCCGAAATTTATTGCTAGAAAGAAACACTAGTTGGAATGGAGAGAGAGCAAGGTAAGAGGGACTTCAAAATGTTTGTGGGAAAATCTGAACTTTAAATTTTATTTTCCACAAATGTTTGAAGACTCCTTGTATGTGATGATGCAAATATATAGTAAAATGTTAATGTTTTATTCTATGTGATTGTATTTGGGTATTTACTGTAAGATTCTTTTAATTTTTTTATATGCTTAAAAAGAGTTTATGTAATAAAATATTGGAAATAGTAGTTTTTTCCTCAAGGAATCTTTGAAAATTATGTCTAGAGTTTAATACTGAGTTTATTTTGTCAAGAGTCTTTTTGGTAAGTACTTTTGCTGTGTTTTTTTTTTTTTGCAGAAATTAATATCAGAACTCCAAAAGCTGTTTATGAGTAAAAATGAGACTTATGTATTGAAATTATGGCCTTTGTTTGTCAGACTTCTTGGAAAGGTAAGGCCACACTGAACAGTCTGAAGTATTTACATGTCATACTGTTTTATGTCTAAACTCTTTTAGTAAAGTATCTTTAAGGCCCCTCCCTAAGATCACAGATGGAATCCACCAACTATTCCTTGGGAGAAAGATGATACTGTCTTCCTATAAAGATTTATAGACTTGAAAAAATTGTGTTCAGAACAACTCTATGCTAGAGAGATTTTGGATTAGATGTCTTTATTTAAGCCAGTTATTTTTTATTGTTTATAGTCTGTTCAGATCACATGTAACTTTCAAGGCTACTATTTTATAGTTTTGGTTTTTTCCTTTGACCTAGAGGTGTATGTACCGTATATACTTGGATAAGCCGAGGCACCTAATTTCACCACACAAAATTGGGGGGCCTTTTCAGCGTAAGAAATGTGCTGAGAAAACTCGGCTTATACTTGAGTATATACGGTATATATGTACTTGTCTCTTATCTTTTTGTTTTGTTTCTGTTTTAAATTTACATTTCCATCGTGTAATATCTGGAAGTACTTCTGAAGCCATCAGAGTTTTGTTTTTAGTTTTATCTTATTTACCATTCCTATTAACCGATAAAACTTTTCTCTAGTGTTGTAGAAATGTTCTGTTAAGTCTTCCTTATTTTATGGAGCTTTACTGGTGTGACTGAATTCTGGACATTTAGAAATCTAGATAGACACTTAAGATTTCATATAATCTCTAACACTTAAGATATGTTTATGTTGTGTGGATAGTTTGTCTTTGAGCTATTAGGTTATGAGTTCCTATAAAGAGTCTAATTGATAATGTGAATAATTGTTCAAATGGATGATAAAGTGCTTATTTTGTTGTGCAGCTAAGTAACTTAATTTTCTTTTTGTTCCTGGTTTAGACCTTACATAGAAGTGGGAGTTTCATCAATTCTTTGCTACAGCTGGAAGAGCTGGGTTTTCGTAGTGGAACACCCATGATAAAGAAAATAGCCTTTATTGCATGGAAGAGTTTAATAGATAATTTTGCTTTAAATCCAGGTGAGTAAATATGCTTAAATTTCTATGAATTCATTTTAGTTTAAGACTGGAAATAAAACTTCTGGTTCTTTGAACTTTATATTGAAACTAATGGCTTAAGTTTTTATTTCAAAGGTACATAAATATAGTTAAAAATAGATTAAAAAACGAGGCTTGTTTTTAAAATTGAACAAAGTGACATTTATTGCTTGTCTTGCTTGGGACACAGTTGAACTCTTCCATACATCTCATTTCTTTTTTAAATTTTTTAAACATTTTATTAGGGGCTCATACAACTGTTATCGCAATCCATACACACATCAATTGTGTAAAGCGCATTTGTGCATCATTCTCTCCACTTAAACCCCCGACATTAGGTCCTCATTTTTCCCCTCCCTCCCCGCTTCCCCCCTCCCTCATGAGCCCTTGATAGTTTATAAATTGTTGTTTTGTCATATCTTGCCCTGTCCGACGTCTCCCCTCACCCACTTTTCTGTTGTCCATCCCCCAGGGAGGAGGTCACATATAGTTCCTTGTAATCGGTTCCCTCTTTCCTACCCATTCTCCCTTTACCCTCCCTGTTTCGCCACTCACACCACTGGTCCTGTAGGGCTCATCCGCCCTGGATTCCCTGTATTTTCAGTTCCTATCTGTACCAGTGTACATCCTCTGGTCTAGCCAGACTTGCAAGGTCGAATTCGAGTCATGGGAGTGGGAGTGGGGAGGAAACCTTTAGGAACTAGAGGAAAGTTGTATTTCTCATCGTTGTTACCCGTACATCTCATTTCATTCAAAGAGACCTTGAGGCTTAAGCATTATTAACCCTATACTAGAGAGACAGAGCTGGTTGTTTAAGGCCCCATAGTGTGCAGACTATACAAAGTATTTGTGATTACCGTGGAATAAAAATATCATTGGCCTGTTTTCAGTACCTGTAGGACAGTATTAATGTGGACACGTGATTCTTTTTTTATTTACTTTAATCTTACCTTCCTATTGTCCAGTGGAGTTTGGGCATAAAGAAGGGGATTTCAAAACGTTTTTTAAAAATTTTCTTTCATTTTGACTTTGAATCCCCTTGCATATAAATGAGGGAAGAGTATTTCACAAGAGTTGACCCGACTGTCTGAGTAAATCAATATTCTGTTAATAGGGCCTGCCAAATAATGTTGATTTCATTCTGTAATTTATTTTGCCAAAGGCATGCATCCCTTCTAATTCTTTTAAAATGTGTTTTGTAAGGTGAGTCTTTGTATTAGCTATATGTATTATACATTACTTTTACTTAAGATATTGGCCAAATGACATTTTTTCTTTTTTTTAAAATCATTTTATTAGGGGCTCATACAACTCTTATCACAATCCATCCATACATCAGATGTGTAAAGACCAGTGTACATTCTCTGGTCTAGCCAGACTTGCAAGGTCGTACATTCATTGCATCATTTGTACATTCATTGCATCATTCTCAAAACATTTCCTCTCCACCTAAGCTCCCAGCATTAGGTCCTCATTTTTCCCTTCCCTCCCTGCTCCCCCCTCCTTCATGAGCCCTTGATAATTTATAAATTACTATTTTGTGGTATCTTGCCCTGTCCGACGTCTCCCTTCACCCACTTTTCTGTTGTCCATCCCCCAGGGAGGAGGTCACATGTAGATCCTTGTAATCGGTTCCCTCTTTCGAACCCACTCTCCCTCCACCCTCCCAGTATCGCCACTCACACCACTGGCCCTGTAGGGATCATCCGCCCTGGATTCCTGTTTCCCCAGTTGCTATATGTACCAGTGTACATCCTCTGGTCTAGCCAGACTTGCAAGGTAGAATTCATATCATGATAGTGGGAGCTGGGAGGAAATAGTTTTTAATTGGGAATATCCTTTCCCCCCCTAATCTGTATGGGTTGACAACTGTCTGGATATATATAACCATATACTCAGCAGTGTAAAGTAGTACTAGATGAGAATGGCTTAAAGAAAAATTAAAATTTGCTACATTACTGTCCTAAGTATAAAAGCAGTTCTTCTAAGAGAATGAGGAGTCTATTCATAGGCAGGATAACTCACTTCCTTGGAATAGACTCCCAAATCATTGCAACCCTAGGTTGAAAATCTAAACTCCCTGCCATCACGTTGATTCCCACTTAGTTACCCTATAGGACAGGCATCCTCAAACTACGGCCCGCTGAAGACATTTATCCAGCCTGCCAGGTGTTTTTTGCCCCGTTTGGTTTTTTACTTCAAAATAAGATACGTGTCATGTGCACAGGAATTTGTTCATAGTTTTTTTTTTTTAAAGTATGGTCTAGCCCTCCAATGGGTCTGAGGGACAGTGAACTGACCCCTGTTTAAAAAGCTTGAGCACCTCTGCTATAGGAGCTCTGGTGGTTAAGTGTTCGGCTGCAATCCTCATGGCCAGCATTTCTAAGCCCCCAGCAAGCAGCTCTGTAGGAGAAAGACTGGGCTTTTTCCTGTGTACAGCAATTTACAGGGGGGGTTGCTATGCGTCAGCATTGACTCCATGGCAGTGAGATAATAGGACCCAGTGTAGGGCTGAGTTTCTAAGGCTTATACATTTCACAGGAGTAGAAAGCCTCATCCACCTTAGTGGCTTAAAATTGCTGACCTTGCAGTTAGCAGCCCACCTTGTAAACCATTAGGCTGACAGGGCTCCTAGAAATCCTGTAGGGCAGAGTATAAAATGCCCTTTGGATTTTCTGAGGCTATATAAATCTTCACAGGCACAGATCTCATCTGTTCAGCTTGTGACTCCCCGGGCCACAGGGCTCCTTAGGCACGGTAACTTAAAAAATAAACTTGCTATCATCAAGTCCATGCCAATCCAGAGCCATCCTAGAGGACAGGGTACAACTGCCCCTGTAGGTTTCTGAGAATGGTAACTGGTTACAGGAATAGAAAGCTTTTTAAAGATCTTTTGATAAATTATTTGAACAGTGTCCTATTTTATATATTTACCAGTCCACTCACATAGCACACACTTTATTTTAAAAACTGGATTTATATGCTGATTTTCAACACTGGTGTTAATATAAAATAGACTTGTATTTAAATATATTTATATTTTCAAATACCTAATGTCCCCAACAGTAATGCTATTTCATGGAATAAATTCATATATGGGCAGGGATGGGGAAGCAATATTTGACACAAGGTAAAGATGTGCAATTATTTATAAAATGAAGTATAGAATTCTTTTAAATAGCTAGGACAGGTTTTGAATACTGGTACTACTGAAATTTTGAGTCAGGTAATACTTTGTTGTGGAAGGAACTGCTATTATTATAGCAAGTTTAGCACTAGATGTTATAATAGCATCTTAACTCTCAAGGCCTTAGTAATGAGTGCTAGAAATATCTCTAGAAGCTAGTGTTCACTGGTGGGCCAAATTGCCCTTTGCACACAGTCCCTGTAAGTTGTACTGATGCCTTTTATTTTTGTTGCCTTAGTGCTTTAGTCTACCTGTATTAGTCAAAAGTGAACATTTTAAGTCAAAAGCAGGCTTCATGACTTTGTTACATGTCTATACATTCTCTTGCCTTAGGACAAAAGGAGGAGACTGTTCAACATTTTGAAAATTAAAGCTTTTACATCTGTATGTGCTTGTTTGTTTGTTTTTTAAAGATATACTTTGCAGTGCAAAAAGACTCAAGTTACTAATGCAGCCTTTGAGTTCCATCCACGTGAGAACAGAATCTCTAGCATTAACAAAACTAGAAGTGTGGTGGTATTTACTGATGAGACTTGGACCTCATCTTCCTGCTAATTTTGAACAGGTAACATTCCAGGTCCTGACTTGGTGTGTGTGTTTTTAATTTGTTCTCAAATTCCTATAGTCTTTATCTCTTATCATTGTTTTAGTTATGTATTGACCATAGGTTACAAGAGATCTTCTGACTAAAAGCTTGAGTTCATTTCCCTTAAATGTTCTCTAGTTGCTCAAAATGGAGCCTTTTCAATCAGCAAAATTTTAAAATGTCCTCTTATTCTGATACTCTAGATTGTTGTTTCCCAAAGTGGTGATACCACCACCCCTTGCAAAAGCAGATACCAACATTTATTCCTGGATTGACTATAGCCTATAGTACAAGTTTTTAACTGCCAAGCTGTCCCTGTAGGTCAAATAATTTGGGGAGACTATGTTCTAGAGTCATTTTGAAAGATTGTGAGAAAGTAATTTTCTCCTATGGTTTAGAGTATAATTGAGATAAAATTAATTTTTTTTGAAATAGAAATCAATGAAGTGCTATATTGGGTAGATAATAGAATTGAGTCAGGTTTTTTTGTTTGTTTGTTTCTCTTTTTGATGCTAAATCACTAAGCCCCATCATAGCTTTTAAAAATTTGTAGCAAATGGTTTCAGAAAAATCTTTCACATTTTGTATTTTTTGTTTATTTTTAATTTTTTTTACATTGTATTTTTACTGGCATTTAAATTACAAATGCATTATAGCTACTAATTCTATCATTGGTTACTGAATCCGTTTCAGTTCAGATGAAAAGGAGCTCTCCTAGTTTATTTTGCTTTTGTTTTTAGAGTATGTTTTACTCTGTATCACTCATTTTATGGGCTTAAATTTACTTGCAACTATTTTTAGCAAATTCTTAATTTTTAACACGTCAAGGCTTTTCCATTTCAAATAGCATGAAGTAATTGAAATGACCACTGATAGTTACATGTATTAGGGATTTTAATGAGCTTTGCAAAATGCTGCCATTATAAGATATTAGTAGGCTAATCTTAACCAGTTGTCCACCACATTTATTGGGATAATTTATTCAGTGACTAGACTGGACTGGTATTGAAATGAACTTTTAAGCTTGCTTAGTTTCTGTTTTTAAAATAATTAAGACAAGTCTATCAATAGCATGTACATTCCGGTAGATATTTGCAATACCTCTTTATGTATATAATTTTCAATTTAGGATTTAGAATAGAAATTTATAGATAATACATCTTTAGAAAAATATTGTTGTAATTTTCAAATTCAATTTGTAGCCTGTTTATGCATGGAAGCAGCCAATTAACAAAACATTTAGATTGTTTCTAAAGAAATTTAAAATATTCAAGACTTCTGAAATGTAAGACAATTACAAATCTGTGCCCGCCCCTCCCCCCCTCTTAATAGGTTTGTGTGCCCCTGATTCAAAGTACAATAAGCACGGATTCTAATGCTTCACCTCAAGGGAGTTCATCTCGCTTAACCACTCCAACTCTAAGTCCTATGACTTCTATACATAAAGGTATGAGGTAGACTTAATATATCTTTCTTTTTCTCTAAAGTTCAGGCTCCAAGTAAAGGTGTATGAAATGCTATTCCCGTGAAATGAAGTGTACCTTGTAACTTTAGGACTCTTTAGGACAAAATGATTGTATATTTTTTAGTTTATTTGATCATTTTAATTGTGTTGTGATTGGCAAAGATGGCCTTTTTCCAAGATTTTTTTTTTTTAATGTGAGGTGCATTACAAGCAAATGGTAATTTTGTGCAGATTAAGAACTTTAGATCTGCTTTAAAAAATAGTGGTTCTTAACAAATGTGAGAAAAAGAAAAAAAGTATGAGAAATACGGCTTGATGTTTACTGTTAAAGGCAACTGTCTATAATTTCCTTTTATTATATTTTACTATGTTAGTGCTCAGATTTGGTACTTATATATTAAACACTCTGACTCTTATAAAGTATTGTTTGTTAAATGTTCATTATCTCTAGGCATAATATCTGAGAATTGGCTTGATTTAACTGGTAAGTTATTCTCAGACTAATGAAACTTATTTTTAAGGCTTTTTTTCCCCCCTTGAATGGAAAATGTGTTCCATGTATTTATCTCCCCCCCCAAGCCCTTTTATTGGGAGCTAATACAGATATCATTGTTCCGTCGTTGAATCCCATCGAGCAGTGTTGTATAATTGCTACCACAATCAGTTTCACATTCTATTCCAGAACCCCTGGACTTCTTCAGCTCCCCTTTACTGTGTCCCTGCGATATTCCCATATCTTCATCTTCTTCTTTTTTAAAAATTGTTTTATTGGGGGCTCATACACTTTTTAAGGCTTTCTAACAAAGAATCAACATTCATTTATCAAACTATTATTAAAGGCAGCATATTATTGAAATGAATAAATGAAATATATTCATTTAATAATTATAAAATAAGCATGCCTAAATTATCTTTTATGTTTTATATCTTTTAAGGTGCCTCCCCATATGGAGCTCCTGGAACTCCTCGGATGAACTTGAGTCCCAATTTAGGTGGAATGGCTACAATCCCCTCCATTCAACTTCTGGGACTTGAAATGCTGCTTCATTTTTTGTTGGGTCCCGAAGTCTTGAGTTTTGCTAAGCAAAACAAACTTGCACTGAGTTTAGGTATTTTATTGTTTTTGAAATATTGGGAAGGATAGGTGTTACTTTCCCCTCAACAAACATACTGTGTAATTGTGCCTGGAGTAACTGTAAATCTAGTAGAAAACATAACAGACTGTCTAAATATTTTGTATTGAAAGGTGATTTCATAAAGTTCTTATTTGGGTAATTATGTTTTATTCTCCCCTTTTTAGAGCCACTTCAACATCCGTTAATCAGCAGTCCTTCTTTTTTTTGCAAGCATGCAAGCACACTTATCACTGCTGTATGTGATAGCTTTGTTGCAGTTGGAAAAGATGCTTCTGGTAAATATTAAAGAGAAATTTTATTAAACTTGTTTTTGAAGAGAAACTATTTATATAGTGCCATCTATTGGCCAGGATGCGCTTTACAAGTTTTACATATTCTTTAACTCCTCATAGCAACTTTAGTTCTACTATTTTACACATGAGAAAACTGAGGATTAATAGTGTTCAGTAACAGACAAAGTAACAAAGTGCTGGAGCTATGATTCATATCCATACTCTGACTGGCATCTACACCAAAGCTCTGTCTACTTTTTCTTTTTTACTCATTTTATTGGGAGTTCATACAACTCATCACAAGCCATCCATCCATTCATTGAAACTCCTGTGTTATATATAAAGAAAATAAGGTTTAAAACTTGATTTGCTATTTAACTGATTGGAAGTGGAATTACATAATTTTCTACTACTGATTGTTGGATTTTATAAAAACTTAATTGTGTTGTATATATTAATTTTAGTTTATAAACATTTTTTCTTTCATCATGTAGAAATACATATCCTACATCAAAAGTCTAGGAAATACAGATGGGAGGCCAAAGAGGAGCATTGGGTGCCGAGAACCACCCTTAGTTACATGACCAAGTGTTCATATGTTGCCATTCGCTTAAAAATAATTTCTGTAAAAATGAGCTAGTTGTGTTGAATGAACTAGTTCAATTGCATAAGATTTACATTACAATAACTACATGAGAATTGTGAAATTAAAAGATACTGCTCTGTTTATTATTGCTTTGGCATGGGGAATGGGAATGTCTTTGTAGTGAGATTTGCTTTGTTCAAAAGCACTTTTAATTTTGTTTCACAGATTCCGTTATCAATGCTGTTTGGAAGGAACTAATTAGCTTGGTGAAATCAGTTACTGAATCAGGTAAGAAGCAGAACAGCATTATGACACTGATCAAACATAATCACCAGTAAATTATTAGACTTCTGTTAGACAATTTTTTAGTTATTATAGCTAATGTTTGATGTTCTTAAGCTTTTTAGTTGTAGAAAAATTTGCATTTGCACATTTAGATTTTCATGCATTTTTTCTTTGTGGTAGGTAACAAAAAAGAGAGACCCGGTTCTGAAGTTTTGACCCTCTTACTAAAGTCCTTGGAAAATATCGTGAAGTCAGAAGCATTCCCTGTATCGAAAACACTGGTAAGTGTAATGGCTATATTTTATACTTTAGAAGTTATAGTCTAAGATTTTACTGAAGTTATTTGTATAGTTTACGCTTTGGGGGAGACTTAAAAATAGCTGATGGTGGTAGTGATTTGTATTTGATTTGCTTTTAAAAGTAACACTTTTTAACCAAGATAGAGTTGTGTATTTCCTGGGGCTAATGGAATACACAGTACTTTTACTTAAGTTCTTCTAGGTATATTTCCTTTATTTGTGACCATACTGTCTGACAGTACAACATAAAATGAGCCAATAGCAGGGCTTTGGAACAAACTGCCTTGGTTTGAATATTGAGGTACATAATTTATTAGCTAAGTGAAGTTATATTCATATTAATGTTCATATTGCTATATTGAGAATTTTCACATTAATGTATTAACATGTATGAACACTGCTTAGAACAAATTGTTAAAATACATTTTTAAGATTAATTCTACTTTAACACCTTTTGTCTTTTCATAGGTCCTCATGGAAATTACAATTAAAGGACTTCCTCAGAAAGTTCTGGGTTCACCAGCATATCAGGTTGCTAATATGGATATTCTTAATGCAAGTATCTTAAATGTAAAGATATAATCAGATCAGGAAAAGTTTGTGGTATATCTCTTTCTTAGAAGAGGAAAGCTAAATTTAGAAAAGGAAACTTAGATTTTAAGTAAATTGATCATGTTAAAACTAATAGATAAAAATGTAATAGCTGTAAGTAATTAAATTTGCTATATGAATAAAGAAAACTATGTTCTTCTATTAATTTAAGATCTCCAGAAAAGTTGTATATTTATAAGCGGGGGTGGGGAGGCAGATCAAAATGCTGTGGAATTTAAAGATAATGGAATTTTCCCACAAGCACCTTCATATAATATTGCTTTTAATAGATTTTGGAAGTTAGATAAATATCAACTAAAATCTGCAGCAAGTTGATGTGGAACCAACAAGTTTTTAAAGCTACTTTGATAGCCAAATCTCTCACCATTAATTACATTGTTTCTCGTTGGTGGAATACTGATTGCGATATAAAAAGGGGTGTGTGTGTGTGTGTGTCATTACTGTCATATCCTAAATGGTGCCTAAAGTCAATTTTTCTCAGGCTTCAGGGGTTATATTTCTAAAATAGTTATTGTAGAGAAAAGTATTAGAGAATTGACTGCATTTTCTGCCTTTATTTCTTCAGGGAACTCCTGCTTTGTTCTTAATTCAACTAATTTTCAACAGTAATCTCTTGGAATGTGGTATAACAAATGAAAAGTAAGTTTTTATAATTTTTTTTTTTTCTTCTTTTTTTTCTTTTTTTTTAACATTTTATTAGGGGCTCATACAACTGTTATCCCAATCCATACACACATCAATTGTGTAAAGCGCATTTGTACATCGTTTCTCAAAACATTTTCTCTCCATTTAAACCCCTGACATTAGGTCCTCATTTTTCCCCTCCCTCCCTGCTCCCCCCTCCCGCATGAGCCCTTGATAGTTTATAAATGGGTATTTTGTCATATCTTGCCCTGTCCGACGTCTCCCTTCATCCACTTTTTGGTTGTCTGTCCCCCAGGGAGGAGGTCACACACAGTTCCATGTAATCGGTTCCCTCTTTCCTACTCATTCTCCCTTTACCCTCTCTGTTTTGCCACTCATACCACTGGTCCTATAGGGCTCATCCGTCCTGGATTCCCTGTATTTTCAGTTCCTGTCTGTACCAGTGTACCTCCTCTGGTCTAGCCAGTCTTGCAAGATAGAATTCGAGTCATGGTAGTGGGAGCGGGGAGGAAACCTTTAGGAACTAGAGGAAGGTTGTATTTTTCATCATTGTTACATCGCCCCCTGACTAAGTTTTTATAATTTAAACAAAGTTTGTTTCTGAAAGGTTTACTAATAATTGAGATTATTTTTTTAGTTACATTTTATTGTTAAACAAAAATCTGTAAAATCAAAGGGCTTCTGATATGTCATTAAATTTTTTTTTCCCCTTCAGGTTCTTTGTCAATCTGGAAACGCTTGTAGGTTGTGCTCTTTCCGGTCCAACTTCACCATTAGCTTTCAGTGACTCTGTTTTAAATGTTATTAATCAAAATGCAAAGCATTTGGACAACAAAGAGCATCTCTGGAGAATGTGGGATGTTATTGTTAGCCCTTTAACTGAATCGATTAATCAGGTATGATATTAATCTTCGCACTTCTCCGAACATTTAAAATTTGCTTTATTGTTTTGTTTTGTTTTAAATTTTATTATCGGCTTATACAACTCTTATCACAATCCATACATACAGCAATTGTGTAAAGCCCATTTGTACATTCATTGCCCTGATCATTCTGAAAACATTTGCTCTCCACCTTAGCCCATGGCATCAGGTCCTCATTTTCCCCCTCTCTCCCTGCTCCCCCCTCCATCATGAGCCCTTAATAATTATAAACTATTATTTTGCCATGTCTTGAACTGTCCCACATCTCCCTTCACCCACTTTTCTGTTGTCCATCCCCCAGGGAGGGCGTTATATGTAGACCCTTGTAATCAGTGCCCCCTTTCCACCCCACTCTCCCTCCACCCTCCCGGTATTGCCACTCTCACCACTGGTCCTGAAGGGATCATCTGTCCGGGATTCCCTGTGTTTCCAGTTCCTATCTGTACCAATGTACATCATCTGGTCTAGCCAGATTTGTAAGGTAGAATTGGACTCATTACAGTTGGGGTGGGTGGGGTAGGAAGCATTTAGGAACTAGAAGAAAGTTGTATGTTTCATCATTGCTACACTGCACCCTGACTGCCTCATCTCTCCCCATGACCCTTCCGTAATAGGATGTCCAATTTCATACAGGTGGGCTTTGGGTCTCCACTCCGCACTCCCCCTCATTCATAATGATATGATTTTTCTGATGATACCTTTGACACCTTGTGTTCACACAGGCTGGTGTGCTTCTTCAATGTGGGCTTTGTTGCTTCTGAGCTAGATAGCTGCTTTTTTACCTTCAAGCGTTTAAGACCCCAGACTCTATATCTTTCTTTTTGTTTGTTTTTTTAATTATTTTCTTGGGGGCTCGTACAATTCTTATTACAATCCATGCATCCATCCATTGTGTCAAGCACATTTGTACTTTTGTTGCCCTCATCATTCTCAAAACATTTGCCTTCTGCTTTAGCCCATTATATTAGCTGCTCATTTTCCCCCTGCCTCCCCACTCCCTCCTCCTTCATGAACCTTTATTATTTTGTCTTAAGTTACACTGTCAGATGTCTCCTCCCGCCCTCTTCTCTGCTGTCCATCTCTCAGGGAGGAGGCTATGTGTTAATCGGTTCCCCCTTTCTGCCCCACATTCCCTCCGCCCCCCAGGCATCACCACTCTCACCACTGGTCCTGAAGGGGTCATCTGTCCCGGATTCCCTGTTTCCAGTTGCTATCTGTACCAATGTACATCTTCTGGTCTAGCCAGATTTGTAAGGTAGAATTGGGATTGTGATAGTGAGGGACGCTATATCTTTTGATAGCCGGGCACCGTCAGCTTTCTTCACCACATTTGCCTCTGCACTCGCTTTGTCTTCAGCAATTGTGTTGGGAAGGTGAGCAACACGGAATGCCAGTTTAGTAGAACCAAGTGTTCTTACATTGAGGGAGTACTTGAGTGGAGGCCCAATGTCCATCTGCTACCTTAATACTAAGCCTATACATATATGCACATATGTTTATTTCCCCATTGTTACTTTTTAAATTTTATTTTTGGAGTACATGGGTAAATTAATAAAAGACATCTAATATTTTTTTAAGGAAATTAGTAACCTTTTCTATTCATTGTATTAGATGGATTTTTGTATTTTATTTTTGAGTTTTATTGCAGAAGAAAATAACTATAATGGAGAATATATCGACTCCATTTTGCCCCCAGTAGTGACAATGAAGCAAGAAGGCCCACAGATGATTCAAGATACATTGAAATTTTCATAATTGTTTCTTGGATTCTTTAGTTGTTGTACCTAGTGCGGATTAATCATGGTCATCCTTCTTACTAGGTTATATGAATATTCTTAGGGTTCTCATTTTTAAAGCTGTTTGGGATAACCTCAAAATTACAGAATTCTCCTTGATCAGGAATCTGTTGAAATTTAAATAGCTTTCAGGTGTCACAATATTGTCAAGATGAGTACCATTTTAGTCACTATCCATGGCTTTTGTCAGCTGCTGTGTGTATTAATCATTTTATTGATGGTTCATACAGCTCTTATCACAATCCATACATCCATCTACTGTTCAACCACATTTGTACATTTGTTGCCCTCATCATTCTCAAAACATTTTTACTTGAGTTTTTGTTATCAGCTCCTCGTCCCCACCCCCGTCTGCCCCCATGACCCCTTGATAATTTATATATATATATATTTGTTTTCATGTTTTACACTGACCGATGTCTCCCTTCACCCACTTTTCTGTCTGTCCCCCTGGGGAGGGGGGTTATATGTAGATATTTGTGATCAGTTCCCCTTTTCTCCCCACACCTTCCCCTTACCCACCTGATATCGCTACTCGTTATTGGTCCTGGGTGGGGGGTATTTGTTCTGGATTCCCTGTGTTTCGAACTCTTTATCTGTATTCGTGTACATGTTCTGGTCTAGCTGGATTTGTAAGGTAGAATTGGGGTCATGGTGGGAGGAAGTGTTAAAGAACTAGAGGAAAGTTGTATGGTTCATTGGTGCTATACTGTACCCTGAGCTGTATTATTTTATTTAGCAGTTTCATTAGCACTTCATCCACATGTCATATATTCAACAGTTTGGTCATATCAAGAAGAGTTGTACAATTGTTACTATATTTGATTTAGAACATTTTCTTCCTTGTAGTCATTGTTAACCATGTGTTTTATTTTTCTAATAGTGGCAAAAATGTATACAACAAAACATTCTCCAATTCCACAACTTCCACTTGTATAATTCAGTGCCATTGATTTTATAGTTCATGTTATGCAACCATTATGGATAACCTTTTCTAAGTCATTCTACCATTGACAAAAACTCAATGCCCCTAAGCAAAAACTCTGCTTTTCACCCAGAGTGTACATTGGTAAAGTTTGCCTTTCTTTTTTTTTTTAGTTTTCTTAATACAGTATTCAGATAACATACTTCCATGGCTAAATTGCTTTTAAAATAAGTTGTATGTACATAATCGCAGTTCTAGTGCTCCCTCTCCCCTCCTGTTTGTTCCCCAAATCCCCTCACCCCACCTGCCACCCTCTCACTTCCACATCCCAATAAACGATTGCATTAGTTAATACCTCTGCGCTTCACAAACTGAGAAACGCAACACACCATTGAACACACAATGAAATGACCAAAAATAATAAATATAAAAATTCAAATTGAGTAAGACAGAAATGCCACCATCAATATTTAAAAAGCCAGGGAAGAAATTTTTCTTGAGAAATAAGCACAAAATAATTTAAAGTAGAACACATTCTCAGCTGCTGTTATCTTTAAAATGGAAATGCTTTCTAGGGTAACTCTAACTTACAAGGGAAGTAACTAATTTATAAAAAACAGTAATTCTCGAACCTTCACACTTAAAATACTCTTCTAGAAGGAAAATTATTGGTTTATTTTCTTGAATATGTTTCATTCTTAAACAACTGGAATGCTAGTGGAGACCCCTTTTGAAAGTCCTTGAATGCTATGTCTATAATAAAAAACTTTGTCGGAGTTATCTCTGGGTTTCTTATCATTAACAGATTTCTATCTAGTGTTAGAATTTGATGATTCTTTGTCTAACCTCTTGTTTTTTCTTATTTCAGACCAATGAAGTAAATCAAGGTGATGCCTTAGAACATAATTTTAGTGCCATCTACAGTGCATTAATTTTGCCAATAAACCATATCTTTTCCGCACAAAAGTTTCCAATGGTAAGACAATGTCAAGCTTATTTTAGAGTAATTTATACCTTTATAATGAACTCCTACATGGATTTTCCATTAAAGAAGCCTTGTTTTTTCTTTTTCAAAATAGTATTTTATTGTACATTCTATGAAAGTTTACATAGTAGCAATTTAGTTTGCCACTTAATAATCTACACTGTAGGCCATTACAGATTGGGCTGCTAACAAAAAAGGTCAGCAGTTAAAATCACTAGCTGCTCCATAGTAGAAAGATAAGACTGTAAGGTTTTCCTCTTCCTTCGTTTTACACACTTGGAAATCATGGAGCAGTTCTAGTCTCTTCTACTGGGCTACTTTTAGTCAGCTCAATGGCAGTGTTTGAGGTTTTTTGTACACCAATTGTTCAGTGGTGGTGGTTATATTTTTCACAACATTGTCATTATTTTCACAGTAGTTGTTCCAGTCCTAGGACTCTCGTTTCCCCGTGCCCTTACTTTCTCCTCATTGCTTTCGAGTAATTACTGATCATTTGTTTGCACATCGATGATTTTTTAAAAGAGTGCAGTACTCATGGCTCTTTGAACCAAAGTGGTGTTTAGATATAGGAGGGAGGTTCCGTTTAGGCCTAATAAATATTTTAGGATGATAGTCTTGAGTAGTTGACTAGTCTCAACCAATCCTGTAAGAACTTTTTAACTATTTGAATTCCGATTCATGTATTTCTCCTATACCGTCAGACTTCATCTATTGTGGCCTTGATCAGAATGCTCAGTAGTGGTATCAGCTAGTTCATCTCTAAGTAGATAAGGCTGTGGCTCACATGGGCTATGAAAACTAGTTACTTCATTCAGTCTTGGGTTTCCTCCTCTCTCTCTTTGCTCCAGATGAGTAAGTTGTGATCCCACAGGGGGTTCAGTGGTGGATGAGCTTTGGTAGTAGATCACCAGACCTGTCTTTTTATTCTAGTCTTTTTAAAAATTTTAATGAGGACTGTAACCTGTTTAGTATCACAGCAGTACACAAAGCTCCATTGATAGCACGTAGGTTTCTTCAGAGCTCAGAGGCCCAGGCGAGAAACTCTAGGTGCTACCTCGGACTACAGAGGTTAGGCTTGGGTGTTAGGAGCCAGGAAGGCTAGAAGGCAGGTGCTGCAGCTGGGTTGGGCTTTCATCCCTCCACCCCCACCCCTACATCGCCAGCAAACACCTTGCAGCTGGCGAGTGAGTCTCATCTCCCAGAAGTCTTTATGATAGAGTTACTGGTTTAGGGATAGGAAAATGAAAGAAGAAAGTTCCTTTTGACCTTATTAACTTTGTATTTTTGAATTATTACAATTCTTAAATCATTTTTGGGAGTATTATAACCTTACTCTAGTTCCTTCTCTTACACTTAAATGTTGCAGTGTCTTCAAAAACATTAGTGGTGTATTGTATTAGTGTTTGCTAAGCATCTGTTATTATCATTAGGCTACCATGAAGAGTTTACTTAGAACATGGGCCAACTTATATCAAACATTTGCCCGCTGTGCAGCTTTGGTAGCAACTGCAGAAGAGAATTTGTGCTGTGAGGAACTTTCTTCCAAGATGCTGTCCAGTTTGGATGATGAAGAACTTCTGGTGAGTTTTAAGTGGCTAATTATTTACCATTGCTAGTATAACACAACACAAATTAGGTGACTTAACAGAAATTTGTTTTTATAACTCAGAAGTGATTCAATTTAGGGACCTAACGTTACTAGTGTGGTTCAATTAGCATACAAAGGAAAGCCTACTCTCAAAATCACATCTTTGATGTTGGGACCGGGAATTCATTACATGTTTTTAGGGGACATCGTTCAATTTGACAATAAGCTAATGTATAAAAACTGGTCAAACCTTTTGTGATTAAATTGTGTTTGTGTACCCTACCTACATCCATGTTTTCAGGACCATTAACACGATGCTCTTTTACGATTTCGCTGTGCCCGTGGTTATTCTGGACATGTATAAATTAATAATACAAGGTGCTCACTCGTGGACATATGTTTTTGTTTCTATAAATGTGAGTTCTGCTCATTTCGTAAAATGGAGAGCAACTGTTTATTGAAACTTGCTTTTTGTAAGATTCTCTTGCCTTAAAGTTAAATTTAACATCAAAATTTGCCCCTCGGAATCAGTTATCAGACATCAAAGACCTGAAAATCATATCAGGGGGTGCCCGCCTTACTGACACAATCACTGAAGACAAACTTGCGCATAAGCAAATGTGAAGAGAGCTAATGGTGCCCAGCTATCAAAAGATAGAGCCCAGCTATCAAAAGATAAAGAGTGGCTGGGGTCTTAAAGGCTTGAAGGTAAACAAGCGGCCATCTATCTGAGAAACATCAAAGCCCACATGGAAGAAGCACACCAGCCTGTCTGACCACGAGGTGTAGAAGGGACCAGTTAGCATACATCAAAGAACTAAAAATCTCATCAGTGGTGCCCACCTTCCTGATAGGATCACTGAAGACAAACGTGTGCATAAACAAAGGTGGTGGAAAAAGTTGATGGTGCCCTGCTATCAAAAGTTATAGCGTGTGGGGTCTTAAAGCTTTGAAGATAAACAGCCAACTAGCTCAGAAGCAACAAAGCCCACAGGGAAGAAGCACACCAGCCTGTGTGACCACAAGCTGCCGAAGGGATCCGGTATCAAGCATCAAAGAACAAAAAAATCATATCATTGTAAAGGTGGGTGAGTGCAGAGTGGAGACTCAAAGCCCATCGGTAGGCAACTGGACTCCCCCTTACTGAAGAGTTGTGGGGAGGGGATTAACCAGTCAAGGCTGCAGGGTAGCAAAGATGAAACATATAACTTTCCTCTTGTTTTGAATGCTTCCTCCACCACTATCATGATCCCAATTCTATCATACAAATCTGCCTAGACCTGAGGGTGTACATTGGTACAGATAGCAACTGGAAACATAGGGAATCCAGGACAGATGACTCCTTTAGGACCAGTGGTGAGAGTGGCGATGCCTGGAGGGTGGAGGGAATGTGGGGTAGAAAGGGGGAACCGATTACAAGAATCTATGTGTAGCCTCCTCCCTGAGGGATGGGCATTAGAGAAGAGGGCGGGAGGAGATGCCGGACAATGTAACTTATGACAAAACAACAATGGTTTGTGAATTATGGAGGGTTCAGGAGGGAGGGAGGGGGAAATGGGCAGCTGATATTAGGGGCTAGAATAGAAGGCAAATGTTTTGAGAATGATGAGGACAGCGAATGTACATATGTGCTTGACACAATGGATATTTGTATGGATTGTGATAAAAATTGTACAAGCCCCCAATAAAACAATTTTTTTTTTAATTTGCCCCTCGGTTCATTAGTTGACTAACTTTGTAGTGGGTATTTTTGTTTTAGTTGTAAAGCAAATGCCTTTTTAACAAAACAAAACAAAAAGTTGCTTCTGAGATGGCTCTGGTATACACAGAGGAATGGATTTGATTGAGGTGTGGTTTGTGGTTTTGTCTTTGAGCATACTATACTCCAAGGAAAGCAAAAGATAATGACTTCTAGAAAAGTGGAATAATCTAATGGAACATCCCATGGGATTATAACCACAGGTGTAGACACTAGAATTTATAGTATATCACTAAAGGGATTATGGCTTGAAGGACCATATTAAGTAATTCTCTACATCTCAATGTTGAGTTTTTTCTTTTTTGCACAAAATACTGGGATTTGTTTTGCCATTCAATCCATAGAATATATTATTCATTTAATCTACAAAGTATTCGGCTGTATAACTGTACCATAATTTTTTTTTTTAATCACAGAAACCTTTATTAAACAAAGGTATCAAAATTTGAAGCTAGTGTTTTTTTGTCTTTTTTTTAGTTCGTAGGTGTTTTTTTTTTTTAATCCTTTTACTAGGGGCTCATACAACACTTATCACAATCCATACACACATCAATTGTGTAAAGCACATTTGTACAGTCATTGCCCTCATCATTCTCAAAACATTTCCTCTCCACTTAAACCCCTGGCATCAGGTCCTCTTTTTTGTACCATAATTTTTAAGCATTTTATTTTTGTAACATCTTGGTGGTTTCTAATTATAAAGCATACTGTTGTTTATCTTCACACAGAGGCCTTTGGGTTTTTTTGTTTTTGTTTTGATCATTTTATTGGGAGCTCGTACAACTCATCACAATTTGTACATACATCAGTTGTATAAAGCACATTTGTATATTTGTTACCCTCATTTTTTTTTCCTCATTTTTTTTAAAAGTATTTTATTGAGGGGTCATACAATTCTTATCACAGTCCATACATCCATCCATTGAGTCAAGCACCTATGTACGTACACCTGTTGCCCTCATCAATCTCAAAATATTCGCCCTCTACTTTAGCCCTCAATATTGTTTGCTCATTTTGGCTCGTACAATTGTTACCACAATCCATACATACAGCCATTGTGTCAAGCACATTTGTACATATGTTCCCATCATCATTCTCAAAACATTTGCTTTCTACTTGAGCCCTTGATATCAGCTCCTCATTTTTCCCCTCCCAGCCTCCATCTCATGAGGCCTTTGGGTTTTTTATGAACATTACTAATAGGAGGATCTGTTGTACTTGGTTTCTCTATATTTTCCTTAATAACTTCTGAAACAAGTATTAATCTGAGGAGTAAATATATATTCTGTTAATTTCTTGGGTGTCGTGTATGTGTGTGTTAATTTCTTACTAACGTTTTGAGACATTTTTCACTTGTGCATATCAGAACTCCCTTGGACATGCTTTTATTCTTACCAGGAGTTAATTACTTGATATTTTCCAATTTTTTGAAAAATGCATTTGTGTATCCCCTCTGTAAACATTAGCAATTTTCTTGTATTTTGATATTTTTCACATTGACATTTAAAAAAAAATAAGATCGTGTCATTCTCCTATAAAACTTTAGTAATTTTTAGCTCCATTTGAAGTAAAACCTGAACTTATAAATTGCTCTTGAGATATCTGAATTCATTTGCTTAATTTTCTTTTAAGGGAGGCATGGCTGAATAGGTTGTATATGATCGGGTTTGTTAGTTTTTGTTGTGCCTCTCCTATCGTATTTTGGCACTTGTCTCAAAACTATTTGTATGTTTCATGGATTGGTGCCCCCTCTAATAAGGTTAGACAGTTTGTCCTTTGATGCATTATATCCCTAGCCTCTGTCTGCCACATTGACAGTAAATAAATAATTTGTTGACTGCTTTTATAATTTGTAGGGATGTTTTAACCTTCAATTTTAACCTTAACTCTTTCTTCGACTACATTTGTGCCTTTGTTTTCCACTTCAGAAGAAATTTAGACTCTTAGCAAATTATGTACAATAACTTGTTGCTATTTTGTATGATATCGGATACTAGATTTAGAGAAGAATTTATACCTTAATAATATTAATCATTCCAACCATGAATATTTTCATATCTTTCTGGTCTTCTCAACTTAATATTGTTAGTATGTTTTTTGTTAGTATTTTTGCTATTATATATAGGCCTTTCCCCTTCATAGTTTTTCTACTTTTTTGTTGCTAGCCTTTATATAGGGGATTACTAATGTTTTTTCCTTAAACCAATCATTTGTCATGGGATACCCTTCTTGTTACCGTGATGCCATTTTAAAACACTGTTGATAATTATTTTATAATTTTGGCATATATGTTCATTAGTGAGATTGAAATTCTCAATGTCCAGTTTTAGTTTCGCTGCAATTCTAACATTTTAGAATATATTTGCTAAAGTTTTCCGCCAATTAAAATAGTGTAAGATAAAAGTTACATGTGTACTTAACATTGCCCTCTTTTTTGTTGTTGTGTTTAACTTTTGGTCCAATTTTCTTGGTCACACTCCATAAAAACTTGCTTATTTTAAGGTTTATTAAAAATATTTTTTGGCACATAATTCACCTATAATACAGTTCAATAGTTCAGTCCTTCAATCATATCAAGGAGAATTGTATAATCATTAGCACATCAGTTTTAGAACGAGTATATCGCCTTTAAACAGTGCCTTTTAAACATGGTTACATCGCCTTTTAAATTAGAGATCAGTTCGTGTATCCCCCCCTCCCACTCTAATTTTTCATTCCTGAAATCCCCTTTCCCTTCCCCCTGCATTCCCCAATCAACCCTTGTATCAGTTATCATCACTACGTATCGACGACTCCTGTGCTTCACAAACTGGGAAATCCAACAGAAACAATAAAAAACAAATTGCTCTAAGATGGTGAGGGTAAAAGCATAATAATAGAAAGACAAAACAAAAATGATGAGTAAGAAAGAAAAGACCCCCATCAACATTCAAAAAGCCAGGGAAGAATTTCCTGTCATGGAACAAATTAGTGATACCTGCACCTAGAAACAATTCTGGTTGGGTCTTAAGCTTATTTAAAACACACCATTTAGTGTTATTTTATTGATTGTTACTGTACCTGTTCCATTTTGTATAAGTATGCCCTTTTTAAAGATTTGCAATTGTTTCATTCTCCCATTTTGCCGAGGTCTGTCTTGTTTTGTCCCATTCACAATGGCAGCGAGGCATCAGCTAGGTCTCAGAATAGATGAGCGTGTGGTTTGTGTGGGTTATTGGGCTTTCTCTTCTGCTCCACCGAAGCGAGTAATGTCTGTGTCTTAAACCTTTAATGTCCTAGATGATATTCGTATGACTAGGATGTAGAGTATGAACATCTATCAAGTATGTCAATTGACTGAGTGATTCTAAGCCTTCACATAAGCATGTACAATGCGGTTCTGAAAAGTGAAAAATGGATTCAAAACATAATGGGATGTTTTCACTGACCTTTGAAGCTATACATAAAACATACATGTGAGGGGAATTCACAGAAAGTTCATGTAAAAATTTCATTATCTTTCAATTACATTTTCCATAAACTTCGCAGTCTCCATATATATGTAAATCTGTCAGTTGACCTCTCTACATGTATATACATAAATGCATATGTATGAGATCTCCCATGTTACTGTTAACTGCTGTTGGTACAAAATTTCCTGTTGCAGCATTTGCTTATTTGATGTTTTAACATCCCCCATTATGTACTTTAAAAAAAAAAAATTATGTACTTTTTAATGTCATCATTTACTTTGGTCAAGTTGTGCAGACATCGAATGCGTTTGGTGTATTGCCTTATTACCAAAATAACAAGTATCTACTATCTTTAAAAACTTTCTTCTTTCCTTTCCTGTCCCTGTCAATCTCCAGTGAATATTGTGTGTGTGGTTGGTTTTTTTGGGGGGGGAGGGGGGATGTTGGTTTATTTGTGTATACTATGGCGCTTCAGAAAGTTCATGGACAGTGGAATTAAAGACATTGGGATTTTCCCACAAACTCTTAGAAGCTCCCTCTTAAATCTAGTCTCATCTTTTATATAAAATAGTTGTCATTTTGTGATTGGCTTATTTTACTGTGCATAGTGTCCTCCAAGGAACCCTGATAACATGGGGGTTATAAGTTGGACTACTAACCTTGAGATCAGCAGTTCAAAACCACCAAACAGCTGCTCCTTTGGATAAAGATGCTTGCTGTTTACTCAAACTGTTAAATTCTCAGAAACCTGCAGGAATAGTTAGTTGTATCCTTCCTTCAAGGGTCGCCATGAGTCAGAATTGATTGGATAGCTGTAAATTTTGTTGGATGTCCTCCAGGTGCATCTTGTATTATATGTGTTAAACTTATTTTTCTTAAAGCTATGTAGTATACCATTATTAGTACAGCAATTTATGCATTCATCTATTGGGTAAACATCTTTGTTAGTCCATCTTTCTGCTTTTGCAAACAGTGTTGTGCTGAGCATGGCTGTGCATATGTCCAATTGTGTCATAGCTCTTCGCTAGGATACATACCCAGGGAAGGGATTGTGTTTCTTGTGGTAAAAGGTCTTTTAAGATTGTTGTTGTTCCAAATGGCTAAGTACTATGCCAGGGTTATTTAAACAGTTTCTAATGCTATTTAATTTTCTCCCTAGAACTTGTTGTTTTTGGATAGACTCGTTTATGTTATGACTGTAATGGTCGATTGCATCGACTTTACACCTTATAACATTAAATATCAACCTAAAGTAAAATGTAAGTATTTTTTACCTTTATTCGTCCTGTGTTTTATAAATATGATTGAACAGTTGTCCTATTAGAAGTTCTCATCTCGTTTTGCTATTGGTGAATTGTTTCAATTTATTCTTTAGATTTTTTATTACACTGTATATGCAAACACATAGAAAATGTATCTTCATATAATACAGTAGTGATTTCCTAATGGTGCAAGGGCTTCAACTTAGGTTTAGGCTGAGCCTTATCCATGATTGGATGACTAGTAAACCAACCAAAATGGCTAATCTTAAAAAACACATGAAGTATATATTTGATGTAACAATTCGATTGCTAGAAAATCGTGCACCTGCTGGATATGGGTAGTTTGAGGCAATGTGATGAAACAGGAAGCACATTGGTTTGAGTAAGTAACCCTGGTTTCTAAATTTGATGGTGTATTATTTTGAGAATTTCAGACATCTATAGTCTTAATATTTCTGTATTTATACCTCATTAAAGACCTGCTTCACCCTTGCAGACCTAGGAAATAGATAAGGGAGCAGGCTTACTTTTCTAAATACATGTCATCACTACTATGTTTTATGTTAGAATCTATAATATGAGAGGGTCTTCCCCCCCCCCAAAAAAAAGGATTCCCCCCCCCCCCCAAAAGCTGTGTATTTAAATTTTTTTCCAAAAAAAACCCTTACCACCTTCAAAGCACTCTCCATTTGTCAAATCTGCAATTCGGTTCTTAGAAACATTCTTCAAACTCATCTGGATGGGTGACAGCACCTCCCTTGGTTTTTTCCCCTTCACCCTTTCTTTGTCCTGAAATAATTTTCTTTCATGTCCCTCTGCATGGAAACAATAAGTTGCATGTAAAGAGGTCAAGTGAATAAGGTGCGTGGGGCAAGAGAGGCAATACCGGTTGTTGTTTTTTTTTTGCCAAAAACTGGTGCGCTGAGATGGCTATGTGAGCAGGTGAATTATTGTGGCAAAACCAGCCCCACATCTGCCACAAACAAATAAGGCCTTTTTTGTTGTATAGATCGTATAGTTACACAATTTTTAAAGAACCTCTAACTAGAAAGCTTGATTAACAGTTTGACCTGGCGCGATGAACTCCAAATGCGCTGACTTGAAATGTTCATCCGTTTGGGAAGTTGACAGATGACCAAAATGAGGTTTGTCATCAATCGACATTTTACCTTTTGTCAAATGAGCAAACTAGTCCATACACTTGAGTTTTTCCCATAGCACTGTCCTTGTAAGCTGTGTTCAACATCACAACAGTTTCTCCAGCATTTTTCCTGAGCAGGAAACAATTTCACAGCTGCATGCTCTTCTCTTAAAACCACCATCACAAAAATGAGGTTCAAGCGACCCTGCTTTTACAAAGAAATTCACTGTGACCAGAGAGAACCTTCCCAGGTGATGCCCCTGGGTGTACTAACTCAGAGAAAGTTGCGCAATGCTCACCTAAAGAGAAAAATACTTACTATGACTGCTCAGCCCAGTGCAATTCTGGGTTTTCGGGGGATACCCCTCATACTTAGCAACATTTGTTGAAATTTTTGGAAGTATAAAAAAATTAGAATGTATTTTACATTTTATCGAGAAAGGTCTGATTTCATGGAACTCTTTTTCTATATCAAATTTTCTGACTTTTAAAATGGCAATATAGTAATATTTACTATATAATTTCGTGATGTATTTTACCACTACAAAACCATGTTAGAGGAACTTGTTACTTAAATGTGAGATATACTTTCTGAAGGTGGATAGTTGTGTTATTCTACATGAGTTTTTAATAAATTAAATTTTTGTCTTAGTACCTCAGACATCTTCAGATTGGTCCAAAAAGAAGAAAGAACCCCTAGGGAAGTTGGCTTCTCTGTTCAAACTTACCGTGAAAGTAATTTGTTCTTTCCACACTCTGAGCTTCAAGGAAGTACATTCTGATACCCTCCTTGCTGTTGGCAACTCAATCATTGGTCTTCTTTCCAATGTACTTGGGCATATTTCTTTGCCCTCTATGATCTGGAAAATATTTTCAACTTTGACGAAACCGCTGGTATTATTATATGAATATTCAAAGTAAGTATTGTTTTGAATTTAATGTGTATGTTAAATTTAAACTAGATTTGTTAGTTTTCCGAGAACAGCAATGTTAATACTATTTTTACAATTTATGTGAAGTTGAAGCCATGTACAGTTGTGATGTAGAAATTGAAAGGCCCTTTGTTTACGTGTTTAATTGTCCCATAGGAGCCCATTGGGCTGCTAACTGCAAGGTTAGCAATTGAAAACCACCAGAGGCTCTGTGGGAGAAAGATAGGGCTTTGTTACTCAAGGTGTGTAAAGAGTTAAAGTCTTTAAAATTCGAAAGGGACATATAGTCTGTCCTATTGGGTTGCTATGATTCAAAATCAACTCCAGGACAATTTAAAAAAAAAAAAACGAAAACAGGATTACTAGGTCTCTATCTCTTGGAGTCACTGGGCGAGTTTGAGTTAGCAACTGAGTGCTGAACCACTGCACCACCAGGGCTCCTAAATGCCGTTAAGAAGGACTTCAGTAAATTTATTTTTATCAACTTCCTGTTTGTGGGCATTTTGTTTCTAAAGCTTTTACATAGTAGTATTGCCATCCAACATTTTAATACATAAATTATAGACATGTTTGCCATTTCTGCAAACAAGGTCCTTTAAAACACTTTCAGAAGTAACACACATTGAGTTTATGAATCCTGGTGAAGTGTATTCATTTACTACATTCCTGTTTACAGTAATGCGTAACATGACGTAGTGTACAGTTAACTCACCTGCTGATTGAAAGGTTAATAATTTGAATCCACCAGAGGGGGGAAAATTAACCATTGATTAAACCCTGTGGAGCACTATTCTACTTTTGACACATGAGGTCACCATAAATTAGAATTGATTCATTAACATCTAGTTTTGGAGGACTGGTGTACAAACAGTTAATAAGGTTTAAGTATGCCCAGGGGCACACTAAAGATAGGCCTAGTTTGGGGGGCAGTGAGGGATCAGCTATTGAAAACCCTATGGAACATAGAACGACAGTTTTACACGTCAGTAGGAACTAGCAGTGACTAAACAGTGACAAAACTTAACCATAATAACGTGCAAGCATTTTCTTAGCATTTTGAAAGAAACTTTCCTGTAGCCCCTACAGATCAGTCATACTATAGTCTGTTTTTAAGCAATGAAATTTACAGTAAAAAAAATTTTTTTTTCCAGAAAAAGATCTTAAGCTGTGGTTTCGTAAAGCAAAAAATAACACCCCCAAAGCTCTTTAATTGTGTACAAATATTTTTTGGTTACTTTATCCAAAATGGTCATGCTTCATAAAGATACACAGAAACAAGTAATTAATATTTTGGGGTCTATTTCTAATAGTTCTTTGTTAAGAATTTTTTTAAAAGTTTGTTGGAGATACATAGATGTTTTCTCAATAATGGGATCTTGACACCTTTTTATGTTACTACAAACATGTTTCATTTTGATACACAAAGGCTTTCCACAAAATTCCATTACCTTTTAATCCTATTTTTCATAAACTTTTTATGTCCCCTCTTGTTAACTGTATGATAGAAATAGTACATGGTTTTTAGTTTAGCTTACATAGTGTTACTTTTATAAAATGTCATGCTGTGTTTTATGCTTTTCCCCCTCCAGGTTTGATGAAGTCCCTAAAGTGTATAGTTGTTTGAACAACAAGGTAAAAAATAACAGACTTGTCTATAAAGCATGTTGTCACACACACACCCCAAATTTATATAACAGATAATTATCTTCCTTAAATATAATTCTGCCTGATTTTTAAAGAACTAATTATAATATTTCATTTTTTTATGGGAACATGACTTAGACTCATTTAAAAGATGTACTTTAGGTTTTATTTTATTTTAGGGTATATCTTTTTAAAGTATTTATTGATGTGATTTAAATTTCTATAAATCAGCAACCTGTATCTCACCTCTTAAAATACCGGTTAATTAGTTTCACAGTTTTCTAGGTTAGATTTGTGTTGTAGGAAGCTACTGATTTGTTTTATGTCGTGTGTTTTTTTGAGTGAGAGTGAGTCAGTGAGTGAGAGAGACAGTGAGTGAGTGAGAGAGTGAGTGAGTTAGTGAGTGCGAGTGAGTCAGTGAGTGAGAGTGTCAGAGAGTGAGAGTGAGTGAGTGAGAGACAGTGAGTGAGAGTGAGTCAGTGAGTGAGACAGTGAGAGTGAGTCAGTGAGTGAGACAGTGAGAGTGAGTGAGACTGAGAGAGTGAGAGTCAGTGAGTGAGAGAGACAGTGAGAGTGAGTGAGAGAGAGAGTGAGTCAGT